TCATTAGAGAGAGGTGTTCATTAAGACAGGTTTCACTGTATAATTTGTGACATTGCAGTGCATTGCACATATCTATGCCTATATCTTTCTGGTCATGTCAATTCCACTCCAATTCTCTCTAAAATTTGAATAAAATGCCAGATATTCTGATATTTCCCTACAATTTAGTATGTTAACTACATGCCTGTTTACTTTATTCCATGCTAATTCCACTCTTTTTCACTCTATTTTGCATTTTAAAACACTTCCGCCATAGCATTTCCCACGTGAGAATGTACAATTATCCTGGAAATTGGGAAGATCTTTTCATTGAATACATCACTAAATTGAGGACTGATCAATAATTCATGGTCCATCCTTTCAAAAAATAACACCGAATTGTTTTGTATTACAGGGATTGTCTATCAGAAATCTAAAAAATGTAAATCACACATTTCTACCAGAGTTTCCCGGGTGGTGGAAATTAAGGAATTATCCTAGAGTTAAGGACTATGTTTTATCTCAAAAGTTGTAATTCATGTATTATTCTGCCTGTTTTTACGGCAGGGTATCTATTGTTATGTAAAGGAAAGTGCATGCAATACATCTGACAAAAGATAACAGCGCAAGCGTATTAACTGAATTGTCTTTCATGAAGAAGTGTTATTTTATCCGTTTGTCTTCTTTTGAGAGGCAAAGTATCCTTGAAAAGAGTAGAATTGGCAAGGAATAAATTAAACAACCATGTAGTTAACACAATAGTCTAGCTACAAGCCCCTGTGATCCCCCCCCCCTCTACACCCCTCCCCCTGTATGGAGTGTTTTAGTCAAGTAGTGGTAGGTTGGTCACAGGGGCTTGTAGCTAGACTATTAACAAAAGTTAAGTATGGTAACAAGTACCTTTTGATTGTGTTTATAATAAATCCATCTAAAATCACATCAACTATTTTTTTCAAGAGGATAATGAATGTTTCCCTTTGCTAAGTTTATCTATAACGATATCTAAACCAATCTTGTCTGCTACATTTGGCTTTTCAAAATTGACCACAAACTTGTTATTAATCGGAAAAGGACTAAAAATGAATTGCTTCTTAAGCCACTTCCCTTCTACATTGCAGTGAAGTATGTATTAACCTTAAAAACATATTACAGTAAAACCTGTCTAATCCAAATGCCACTTGGACAGCCAAAAGTGTTCGAATTAGCAAGTGTTCACATTTCAAAGTTTAACAATATGTGAGTCAAATTGGATTGAATCAAAACTGGGCTCAAAATTGGGATCGAGTGTTTGCATTAGAGAGGTGTTCCGTCATGCAAGTTTTATAATACAGTTAAACCTGTTCGAGTGAACACCTCTCTCTAGTGAACACCTGTCTCTAGTGGGCACCCTGCCTCCTTCACACATACTGTACTGACTCCTGTATGAATTACCCTCTTTGTAGTGAACACCTAAGAAAACTGAATGTTTTTTCTAATCCCAAAAATGTTCAGTATTCTCGGTTTTATCCATTTTATGCATGTTCATTAAGCCCGGTATACAACAATGGGGCAAAATCCCACTTGCCCCATTGAGTCCCATCTTGCCCCATCGAATCTCAACTTGCCCCATCGAATCCCACAAAGTCCCCAACACGTCATATGATCGAAAATCCCACGATGCCCCATGGAAAGAATGAACATAGTCATTCTCGATGGGGCAAGATGGGACTCTGTGGGATTTCGCCCCATTTTGCCACAACTTGCCCCGTCGAATCCCACCCAGTCCCACGTGGGACCTCATGGGACTCGATGGGGCAAAATCCTAAGAATTTCCACGAGGTCCCATGGTGTATACCAGGCTTTAGATAAATGAAACTAAAATGCATTAAATTAGTTCAAAATTAAAATCTCAAGTGGATGCAGTGCTTGCTTGTATCGATGCTATAAGGACCATATAAGGAAATGGGCAGTTGAGCAATTGATGTTATTGGTTGTGTTTGTGGAGTCAAAAGAATGTAATTTAGATCGAGAGATTCCAGATATAAGATCAAAATTCTAGTTGCAAACCAAGATGAGCCTCCTGGCACCATCATAAAATCAATCAATTTCTTAACTTTAAGATCAAAGGAGAAACATGTCAGGAGATTCTTTACCAAAATTAGATGATTTCCAAGGCTTTACAAATAAAATGCTTAGTTAGAGACACTTTGTGAATGTCAAACTTTAGGTAGTCGTGCCTCAAACCCCTATGACTTAAAGGTAGTCGTGCCTCAAACCCTTATGACTTAAATGTAGTCGTGCCTCAAACCCTTATGACTTAAAGGTAGTCGTGCCTCAAACCCTTATGACTTAAAGGTAGTCGTGCCTCAAACCCTTATGACTTAAAGGTAGTCGTGCCTCAAACCCTTATGATTTAAAGGTAGTCGTGCCTCAAACCCTTATGACTTAAAGGTAGTCGTGCCTCAAACCCTTATGACTTAAAGGTAGTTGTACCTCAAACACTTATGACTTAAAGGTAGTCCTGCCTCAAACCCTTATGACTTAAAGGTAGTCATGCCTCAAAACCTTATGACTTAAAGGTAGTTGTGCCTCAAACCCTTATGACTTAAAGGTAGTCGTGCCTCAAACCCTTATGGCTTAAAGGTAGTCTTGCCTCAAACCCTTATGACTTAAAGGTAGTCTCGCCTCAAGCCCCTATGTCCCTCCTCACTTATCTTATATTCTGAAGAGAGCCCAGTGATGCAAGACTTATTGGAAATGTGTCACAGTGGTTGTGTTTTAAAATGCAAATAGAATGGAAAAGAGTGGAATCAGCAAGGAAATAGAATACATGTATATGATTAACATTACAAATTGTAGAAATGTCAGAAAATCAGGCACTTCATATAAATTTTGGAGAGAATTTTAGAGAAATCAGTAAGAGATCAGGTAAACAAACAGACATATGGTCAATTTCTCGTATATAAAAATGTCAGAAAATCTGCCACTTCAATTAAATGTTAAACAGAATTTAGAGAAATCAGTAAGAGAACAAATAAACAAGCAGACATATGATGAATTTCTCATATATAAAAATGTTAGAAAATCAGTCACTTTATTCAAAGTTTATAGAGAAATTAATTGAATTAGCATGGACCATGATACACAGTCATGTAGCTGACACTACAGTGATCTCCCCAGCATTAAAGCAAGTAGACGCAGCACCCACCTGAGATTTTAAAACAAGTTTGCACCCACCTGAGATTTTATTTGCGCCCACTTGAAAATGAGAAAAATCATGTAAAATGGGCATATTTTGACCTGGACTTTGGACTGAATCATGAAAATGAGAATTTTGCACCCACTTGGTAAAAAATCCTTGGAAGAACACTGCACTTTATCACAGTCATTGAAATGATAGTTAATGCAACGTTTAAATAGAATATGGAAATTGCTAATTGTACCTACTCCTTTAAGCTTTAAGATGAGCTTGACATTTACTAAAAGATGTGATTATGTTCCCCTTAAACCATTTATTGGATTCTATCTTAAATGACCATTAAAATTGATCTACTTTAACACCTCTGGGTGTGATTTACCCATAAAAAAGACCAGAGAAAATATCTTGCGAGTGTATTGTGTTTCTCATGAGTGCAAATTTTATGTCTTGTGAGTGTATTATGTTTCTCATGAGTGCATTTTGTGTCTTGCAAGTGTGCTGTGTTTCTCATGATTGCATTTTGTGTCTTACGGGTATATTGTGTTTCTCATGCGTGCATTTTGTGTCTTACGAGTGTATTGTGTTTCTCATGAGTGCATTTTGTGTCTTGCGGGTGTATTGTGTTTCTCATCAGTGTATTTTGTGTCTTGCGAGTGTATTGTGTTTCTCATGAGTGCATTTTGTGTCGTGCGAGTGTGTTGTGTTTCTTATGAGTGCATTTTGTGTCGTGCGAGTGTATTGTGTTTCTCATGAGTGTATTTTTGTCTTATGTATATTGTGTTTCTCATGAATTTTTTTTCATAGTTAATTTTCTGGCTTCCTAAGATAGTCATGCCTATTTCACTCAATTTTCTTCTTCATTTGAAAGAAGTATCCTTGAATTTCTCTATAAATCTCTATTTTGTGTTTTATAATGGCCACAGTAACAAAAGCTATCACATTTTACTCAGATGATGAAAATTAATGCACTAGATAACAATGTAACCTTATTGCACTCATTAGAGTAATAGCTTTAAAGGCTCTTGTCTTGTCACACCTCTTTGATATCAAATCTTCACTGACTTAACATCCCAAAGGTACCAACACTGGTGATCCACTCGGTTACGCTGGTTACCAAAAGGAATTGTTTCGGTAACCAGCGTAACCACTCTAAATCTATAACAATGGTTTATTGATAACATTGTTGGCTCATCTAACTGGGTCATTTGTATAAATAGTAGCAGTGGTTCAGCAAGAGTAATCAACTCAGAAAATGAAGCAAAGAGGACAGCCTTTAAGAATGAGGATATAGAAACTCATTTTTCAAATTTCAAGCAATCACTAATGGCCTCCTCGCTAGAAAGTATCATGGTAGTAGTTTTAGATCCAAAATAGAATGGAAAAGAGTGGAATCAGGAAGGAATAAAATACACTGGCATGGAGTCAACACTCTAAATTGTATAGAAATGCAAGAAAATCAGACACTTCATTCAAATTTTAGAGAGAAATGGAGTGAAATAAGCATGGACAGACAGACATTTTATCAAATTTTAGTGGAAAATTATGTGAATTAGGGAGAGATGGTTTAGATGACAGAATGGTGTAATTTTAATCCATTACCATTCTGATCTTTAGTTAACGAAGGGTTTGTAAATATCAGAAATGTTGTTATTTTGTTACTTTTCAATCAAATACCATGTTCATCTACATATTTATGCTCATTCCACTCATTTTCTCTGAAATTTAAATTACGATAGAGTTTACTAAATGTTATATTATTAGTAAATTATTTTATTAATAAATGTATAATCATGATATAATTTTCAATATCTTAACTATCAAATACATTTTTATATATTTTCAGTTAACCAAATATAAGGGAACCAAACAATGTATTCAGCAATATTCTCTGACATCACCATGGTAACAATAACCACAGGAACCACAGCAATTGTATATCACTGGTAACAACAATACCAACAACAATAGGAAAGTAACCAAGTCAACAATCTGAATAGTAACAACAGCTATAGTATACCAGTAACCATAGCAACCATACAACTATATGGTGGCAGCACTTGTTATGGTATCATTTAACTCAGTGACCATTAATCTCCATGGTAAACAAACATTAAATGGAACAATAGGAATCATTGCCAATGACAACCATATGTTCCATGGTAACCAAAACCAACAACCAAATATGGTTTTAAATATTGGTATGGCTTAAAACCTTGGCAAAAAATTACAATTTAAACCTATAGGGCATCTCAATATATGAAATAATGAGAATATACATAAAGGAAGGGCAATATAACGTCACACTCTGCCTAGTGCCTTATCACAAATCAGCAAAGTGAATTGAATTGGGAAAGAAAAGGAAATTCAACATTTTGCGTTAACCATGATTGTAATAACTATCACCATGGTTACCCAAATGAAACAGCATAGCAACAGGATTGTATTAAATACCATATTTACCCAAGTACCAGAGGATGTATTGACCTTGAATGTTTACAACAGTTAGGAATATGTTGTGTTTCTATGCCAACGACTTGAACCATCGTTATAGCAACATCTGATATGGCTTTGGATATTTCTTATATTGATATGTATATGCTAGCTGCGCCCTCTTCAATATCTGGAAATGGTGTGCGACTCTGTCAAAATGGTGCCACTCAATCAAATTGGTGGAATATTGATATACATAATTGTATTTTGGACCAAAACTGGTGTAATCAAGATTGAGCACCTGCACCTATTAACTTAACATTGGGAGATCACCAGATCAATACAATAGCATCTATTGGAATAAAGCTACATTGGTCACCATGGCAACCTTTTTAAAATGTGTTACCATAGCAACTAAAACCTTTACAAATGCAATTTTTGCACCAATAAGGTGTATATGTACATATGATGCACAAGTATAGCATTAGTTTGACTGATTTTAAAACTTTCTCAATATTACCTGAGTTCAATATACATTTATATCTAATTATTCAAGTGTCCTCTTATGACAGTTTTGAGATGATTTAGAGAATTTTCTTCAAAATAATGTCCTCATCAAAAATGTAGTCCCTTAACCATCAACTTTTACTATGCAATTTTCTGAATAATAAGATATCCTATGATCATATTTCTGAAAACATAGTTCAGAGACACAAGATTACTGTATTTGTCTTTAATTTGGCGAATCCAAAAAATCGCTAAATTAAATAGTTTGATTTTTTGTTCGGTGAACTTCTGATTGCAAGATGGCTGGGGCCGTTTAAATTGTTCAACAACAATTAAACTGGATTAGGCGGAAGGGTATATGATAGATATAGATATGAGATTTATCCCCTTGAAAAACCGCAAATTAAATAGATGCCATTATGTTCAATCTCCCAAAATCACCAAATTAAGTAGCTCCAAATGAAAGAAAATACAGTACATGTTCTTTGAGATAAAATGCTCTTTATAATAGTGTTAATAATCAAATATTCATGTCAAAATGTAATTCTAACTGCTTGTACTTATATTTGTATTTCACACCAAACCTTACACTCTCAAACTCTTGCATTTAGTTTTATATCATAAGTGGGAGTGTATACTCACTATACCTGGCCTGTCTAAAGTTCATATTACCCCTATACACCCCCCAAAATAAGTTTAATGAGTGTGATTCCAGGCCCGTAGCCAGGATTTGCCAAGGGGGGTCACTTTTTGAAAAACTCCAGAGGGGTTCACTTGTGACAATTTTGGTCCACAAATGGCCCAAATCACTTAAAAAGTTCTCAGAATGGTGAAAAAATGCATGATTTTGAGAGATTTTTTGGCCAGGGGGAGTTTGTTCGTCCCATCAAACCCCCCTGGCTACGGCCCTGGATTCCATAAACATTTTGAGTATATGTAATGTATGTTTGTTTTCATTATTATATCATTTTATATGTTTGCTGCAATATTATATAATATGTACATATTAAAATCATTGTAGAACAATCAGTATTTTTTGTTCCAAGATGGCTGAAATGCAATTATTTCAAGAAAATGGTCACGGAGGTTGTGCCTATTTTTCTCCATTTCTCTCTTAAATTTGAATGAAGTGTCTGATTTTCTTGCATTTCTATACAATTTGGAATGTTATCTACATGCCTGTTTACTTTATCCGTTACTAATTTATCACTTTTCAACTTCATTTTCAATTTTTAAACAAGACAGCCGTGACCAGTTTCTTAAAGGCTATTTTGTCAGTCAATAATTTTGCATTTTAAATTTACAAAATGTGTGTGGAGAATCATGTTGTTTGATAACTCATTTGCCTCAAGAACAATTTTGAAAGAGAACTCCATATTTTAAAATGGTTATATTCTCCAAGTATTGACATTTCTCCCTTTCCCATACTTCATTTCTGAGGGGGAGAGAAATCACTGCACACAGAGAAGCAAAACATTGATCAACATTTTGTGTGTATCAGGCAATTTAAAGTTATTAAAGGCAGAATCAGATCTATAAGGGTGACAAAATTACAAGCAACATGAACAATTGACCTACCAAACAAAATACAGATCTTCAAAACAATTCATGATATGTTATAAATTGGTGAAGTTATCATAGATTCAAAGTGCAAAAATGGGTGAAAAAGGTTTAATTTCTCCTAAATAATAAGAATGGTAAACCATTGTTATAGAAAGATAATACATTTTGTCAAAATCTTAAGTTTTCCTGAAATAAAGTGTGTACTTTGGGGATTTTTAGAAAATATACATGACAAGGAATGACATGTGCCAGAAATATTCTAAAATTGAAACAATTTTTGGTTGGCCTGCTCGCTGGATCTGATTCTCTCTTTAATGTGTTAATAGCGTCCTGACACGTGTAGAACCGTAGTAGAATGGAAAGTCAAAACAAAACCTTCTTGATGTGCTTCAAGTGAAAGTATTCTCAAAAATAGCTCCTAAATTGCTATTTTTGTTTTATTCATAAGATTTATAAAATGTTTTACTTGCATGTATGCTATTTTCTTCTTGTATACCTTTGGAAAGGAAAACTTTAATGTGGTCATTATTAATAATTGTTATATATTTTTGAAATTTTAAAATCACTTGTAAGATTGTAAGACAGAATGTAAATCTATTTTTTGGAATTGAGGGGTTTAACCCAAAATCTGTTACAAAAGTAGAAATAACAAGTGTGTTTAAATTTAAAGTATTTCACTGTATAAATCATTGATAGGCCAAATTATAATGTGGCTCAAATTGTATGAAACCAGAGTATGATAAATCATTTGTAAGCCAGTATGATATACCATTTGAAAGATGTGTATTTATAGTTCAATTGTTTCTACAATACAGTACTAGTATATAACAATAAAATCATTAAATTAATATTGAATTTCATGTTAATTAAGAAGGAAATAAGCAAAAACTAAAATACAGGAATAATTGACTTAGCATGGGGACATACACCATTGACCAATGACTTAGCATACTTTTTATGTAAGCACTAGTTTGCTACTTTGTAGATATATGACACATACATGGGTACATGTATTGACAATTAATGTTTGATAATAGCTAGTAGGAGTGTCCGGGACTAATGACAGATAATAATTTTTAACCAAAAACTTGAACTATATTCTTTGCTGTCTCAGTAAATCCGTGGCATAATCACATCAAACATGCTTATTTCAGACCCAAAAAACAATGTTTGTTATAAATGTTAGATTCGTTATCTTTTTTCGCTCATGGGATATTTTTCTCACCATAACCGACCGGGAAGTTTTTGAATAAGACTAAATAATCTGAATGGATGCATTGATTCAATGGGTTGAGATTTGAGAAATCATAATTTGAACTTTCATGTACCTCCTCAATGGAGAAGAAAGTATTAAAGTTGTCTTCCCCATGTTGAAATTCCCCGGTTTTTGAGAATTTACACTGGAGGAAATATACAAAACCAAAACAATGTATGCTCCTTTATAACCCGGAAGTGGGCGATTTATCAGAACGAGGCCCAAAAAAGTTTCTGTGTTTTTTGACATTTCTACACATTTTTTTATTATATTTAGGTAGTTAGGTAGTTTGAGGAATCACCATGGTAGACACAGAGAGACTAAAGGCTCAACTGAAAACGACACCAGCGGTCACATGTATGAAAATACTTTTGATGGTCTTCAATTTCATATTTTGGGTGAGTGTTTATCTTGCAAAATATTAAGGTCAGGGTGCATGATGGGAAATTTTCTGCATTCCTCAATTGAGTCACATGTTATTTTTCAAACAAGAATCACTCCTTCCCCACATTGTCTATATCTTCCAGTTCTGCACAAAGAGTGCACTTATGTGCCGAGAAAAGACTTGTGAGAAGAATGTTTTGATAAAGTGTATAAAAAACAAGAAAATTCAGTGAAAAAAATCAGAAAATTTTCAGAATTTTTTTTCACTGAATTTTCTCATTTTTTATACATTTTACAAAACAAACCTTCTCACAAGGCTTTTCTAGGCACATACGTGCACTCTTTGTGCAAACTTGGAAGATGTAGACAATGTGGGGAAGGAGTTATTCTTGTTTGAAAAATAACATGTGACTCAATTGAGGAATGCAGAAAATTTCCCAACATGCACCCTGTCCTTAAGATTTTTGACATCTAAAAAGTTACTCGACTTTTCTGTGATTTTGAATCACAGAAAGCATTCTGAAGTGTCAAATTGGCGCCACGTTTAATTTTTGGCGTCCCCCTAATGTATACCACTAACCTTTTATTGATTCTTTCATAAGTTTCGTCATAAACTCAGTTTGACCAGAAGTATCTTTGTTGCCGCTCGATTTAAAAAAAAATGTCCCTTTTCTAATCACCTGGATGTGCGGTTTACTTGGACTCCCCCAAAAGGAGGGGTGTCAAACGCAAGATGGTAAAGATGAAGACATGTTGCCACTCTCAGAGAATCTACTCCATAACTTCAACATTACTACGCAGTTTTATGAGCGCAAAAGATAAGGGCAGGTTGTATATAGGACTGGACAAGATGAAAATAAATATTCTAAAAAGTTGACACCCCTTCCGAAATAAGATGAACAGATCTGTGTCACGTGACCGATTTCTTAGAAGAAATTACGTCAGAAAAACAGAAGCTCCGTAGAGAATTTTCGCTTGAAATGTTGAAAAGCAAGCCCAGTTTTCTATGAGAATATACCATTATTAACAGTTACGTGTACAATATTACCAAGTTCGATGGTGCATAAGTTAGGCGGTGGATCATTTTGTAAGTACGACAATGTGAATTAATGCGACTGTCACTTTTTGGAAGTTTTTTTGCAAAAAAGTCTAGTAACTTTTTAAATGTCGAAGATCTTACTCACTTCGAGAACCATCAAATTTGATGCAGATAATCTTTGCTTTAACTGGTGTTTCTGAATGGTTCGTGACCGAAATTCACTTAGCTGTAGAAAATATATTACATTATAAGGGTAGATTGTTTTTACTTACCAATCATCTACATGTGCTGACATATTCACTCGATGGACAATTTACAAGTCTTTATCGAAAAAGAATTATTTCAGCGCTCCAAGCCTCCAATACTTGCACGGATTGATGATTCTGATGTAAGACACAGTTAGAGACCATGGATCTCACTATTCATGTTTTAAGGGTCACTTTTATTCAGCTGTCTGTGAGAAAGTTATTATATCAAAATCCACATAGCTTTCGGAAGAAGTAAGCAAAATATATTCATATCACAATGCAACTCCCGGGGGTTCACTTAGATATCAATGTGTTCATAACCAAAATAACGCTCAAAAGCCATACTAAATGTCCAGATATAAGACCAATGCCATATGATACCAAATGTATAGAACCAATGCCATACCCTGGATACTATTCCAAATGTCCAAAGTAGAAAAAAGCTAATATTCAAACTGAAGAAGGGAGATCTATGTGGAAAACATAGGGATATGTGTAACTACAGGTACTTAACCAATACCATACCGCAAGTGTGAGGGAACATATTTTCGACAATCATTCTCATTGCCACACCAAATGTCCAAAAAGGTACCCCATGTGCGCCGAGGATACCCGTCAAGGTTTCTGTACAGTGAGCCCCCCCCCCCCCCCAGATGCAACCGTACTGCAAGCGAGTCAATTCAACAATTTGAATAGTTTGATGAATAAATTATGGGGCCATTATCCAGGTTTGGCTGTGGAGGGGTGTATGGTATTCAAGGCTAAATCATGGGCTTTCAACAGAGCTTAAGACACCATGATAAGGAGCATTATTTAGTGAAGATTCCTCATAGTTAACGTTACCATTTGAAATTTCATGCACTGTATGCCCTTTTTAAGATCAAATAGTTGCATACTCAAACACAAAATTAGTATTAAATTTGCCATATACTTTTTGAAGTCTTTAAAAGTTATTTCAATTTATTTACTGTTATCTTCATACATGTACTTTAGTAACATGTTACAATGTCCATGTGGTCGTGAATCATACCCAATGAACTGATGTATCTACTTATAAACTTTTGATGATAATTGCTAATTAATCAAGTAATTAATTCTATAAATAACTTGTTTATGTTAATGTCTACCTATAAAACAAACCCATTAATGATTAAGAACATGGGCTTTCAAACCAACATACAAAATAACTGTTCAGAAAGTTTAGGGCATAAAGTTTGAAATTTTGCATTGTTTCATTTTGATTTTCATTTTGTTCAGGAGCTACTAATTCATTCATCTTGCTTCATCAAGATTTGGATCTGATATAACACACTGATCGCGCGTGGGAACTGACAATGTAATTCATTTAGTCTGTACTATTAGTATAACCAGAGCATTTGAATAGTGTTGGGTTCATTTCAAAACAATAAATAAGTAAATAAAGTCTCTTGTTATAAAAATGATAAGAGTGCTATATACTGACATACCCTGTTTTATCATGAATGAAATGTCCGTCTGTTCATGCTTATTTCACTCAATTTCTCTCTAAAATTTGAATGAACTATCTGATTTTCTTGCATTTCTATACAATTTAGAGTACTGACTACATGCCTGTTTTGTTTAATTCTTGCATATTTCACTAATTTCCACTCTATTTTGCATTTGAAAATGTGATCATTTTAGATTTTACCGTGGGTATAAATTGACAACACCTGATAGCTGTGGGATCAGAGGGCAATTGACCTTGTCTCTTATATATAGACAGTTAAATGTAGAAAATGTGTATATGACCTGTGAACACCTCTCTATTCTGAACACCTCAGATTAAGAACTCTTTCTCTGTACAAATTTTATGTGTATCATCCCATTGACTGGATTCAGTGGCATTGCATTGACAGTAAAACAGGTATTACTGTTGTTGTTGATAAAGAAACTTGCTACTCATGTTGACATGCAAATTAAGATTTATACCTAAATTGCCAATGATTTCTCTCTGTGCTGTATTCCCTAGGCCCTGAGTTAAGTTCTTTGATTAGGGATACTGGACTAGGGCGTGGGCCCTCTCTATTTATGTAAACTAACTGAGTGCTTAAAGTAACATTTTGTTATAGTCTCCAACTTTTTGTAGACAGTGTTCGGTGGTCAAGGTGTTTGGTATTTGGTGGTTGGTGTTCAATGTTTAGTAGTCGGCATCTTTAACAAATGGCAGGTGGTGACATTTTCCATGTTAATGCCTTGTTAGTCTTGCTAAAGCCCTTGTGACCCCCCCCCCCCACCCTCGTCTACACATCTCCCTACAAGTGTTGAAGAAGATACAGAGGGTTCACAGGGTTCAGGCGTTCAACCCCCCCCCCCCCCCCGACCAAAAATTCTTTCAAAATCATGCAGTTTTTCACCATTTTGAGCACTTTTCAAGTGATTTTAGCCATATTTGGGCCAACATTGTCAAATGTGAATGCTCCCCTTGAATATTTTGAAAACTGAACCCCCCTTGGCAAATCCTGGCTACAGGCCTGAGTTATTAACAATGAGTAACTTAGATCCTCATTAGCTCCTAGTTAGAACCTATTTTGATAAAAACAATGTATTGAGACTACACATATAGTAAACCTGACTCTAAAAAGTGTTCCACAAACAGAGGTGTTTCACTTTTAGAGGTGTTCCACTTAACAGGTTTAACTTTCTACTGCCGCTCTTGCTTTAAATAAAGTAAGAAGTGGAAGGGAAAATGTTCCTGCACAGGGCATTGGATTTAGCACACTCACTTTCATGTCTAGTATCTGGCTCGTTATACTACAGCTACCTGAACGAGTGTGCCCTCGAGAAGTTACATTTCTATTGTCTGGTCAAATGAAGGACTTTCTGTCTTTCTTGTTAGCAGGAATTTATAACCTTACAGAAATTACTTCATCTATGTCAATTTGAGCCAATGAGTGCATGTAATACATAACTAGCAGTTTTCAGCTTTGGATTAAAAAGAATATTTTGTGATTTACTTGTTAGTGCAGATGTCATATCCATTCTTGGATAAAAATCATATCACTCATTAATCATAGGATATCCTCTATATGTTACATTTTATTTTTATTATCTTGTATTTAACAAAATATATTTTCAGATTACAGGAATTGCCGTGCTTGCGATTGGAATATGGATGAAGGTCGATCTCTTTAGATTCTTGGAGTTGGCGAATCTTTACAATATTGCCGTCCCATGGGTCCTAATAGGTCAGTCTTTTCTCTTTTATATGGTATATGGGGCTTGTTTCTATTTTTGTATTTGACGTTTAAATAGACTCGGGTTGGTATTGATGCTTAATTTCTAAAGATTTGTAATGTAGGGCTTTATTTTTTGGGTAGTTTTTGTTGAACTTTGACCTATGGGGTTGTTATGTGCAGAGCCTGCCTTCTCCATAGGCCAAAGGTAATTAAAACATTGGCAATTTTTTAATTCACTTTTTTAGATATTACACAATACATCTTCTTTTTAAATAATGCACTCCTCTTTTCTTTATTATTTCAATTTAATTTAAAAATTACACGAAAGATCTTCTTTTCAAATAATTCATTTCTCTTTACTTTCATTTTTATTAATGATTTTTATCTCAGGTGTTGGCTGTTTGATTATCATTGTTGGAACACTAGGATGTCTGTGTACGGTGAAAGGGAAGGCTTTCCTGCTATATTTGGTAAGTGAGGTTTGTTGAAATACCCATCTGCCAGAAATACCTCACTCAAGAAATACCTATCACCAAAAATACCCCCTGCCAGAGAAACCTGTTCATCAGGAATACCTATTTGGCAGAAATACCCATCTGCCAAAGATACCCATTTACCATAAACACCAATCTCCCAGAATACCCATTTGCCAGAAATACTCTCCTGCTAGAAATACCCATCTGCCAGAAATACTCATCTTTCAGAAATATCCATTATCCAGACATACCCGTTTGCCAGAAATACCCATCTACCAGAAATACCTGTTTGCCAGAAATGCTCATCCGCCAGAAATACCTATCTGCCAGAAATAATTATTAGCAAGAAATTCCTGTTTGCCAGAAATTCCTGTTTTATTGCCTTATTTACTAGAAATGCCTGTGTTAGCAAAAAACAGAGAGGTTTCTTGAAAGTATCTTTACTTGTGTTATCCTAAAAGAAGTTGTCTTCATATACTGTATTAACACAGTACTTGAATAAAAACTGGCAAAATAGCCGGGAATTCATAATTTGAGAGATGATTGTTCATGATGATTAAAGACTGATATGTTCTTTTTAATATTTTCAGTTTGCGGCTTTCCTGATGTTGGTGTTTATTGTTGAATTGAGTGCAGGCATTGCTCTCTTTGTGTTCCAAGGTCAGGTATGTATCACGTAGTATGCCTGGAAGCATTCTTGCATTCTTAATTTAACACAAATGTTAAATTGATTAACCTTGTTGAATTTTTACTATATGATATTCTTTGAATGATATGATATGAAAATTAAGTGATTAAAAAATGCATTCTTGCCATGCAAGGAGGATTGTCTCCCAATCTCGATTATTTTCAATGAATCTGATTTTAAAGGATGTTATGATTTTCACTTCAAAATTTTGAATTGTGAGTTTTGGTTTTATAAGATAACAACAACAAAATTCAAACACACAAGAAGTGATCGAGACACGAGCTCAAATCTTTTGGACCGGTGATTATGAATTTATAGCCAGTTAAATCTCTCCCTATCAATATCTAGTTTGAAAACACCCATTTATTTTTTCTCCAGCTTCAAAAGGGATTCTCTGATGGACTCACGAGTGCTGTGAACAGTTACCAGGACCAGACCACAAAGCACAAAGCCATGGACGATCTGCAGAAAGGGGTACTATATAGACCTTTATTATGTCACCCTCACAAGTGGTTATATCAATGTTGGCTCTAAGGGCCGGTCCGCCAGTCATTACCAGGTTACTTTTGATACGGACCAGTTGATTTTTTCACTAAAATAACATTGCATCTTATCCGTAATGCCATTTTGACCAGCAGGTTTCAAATCCTTAGGGCCTACATTGGGTTTTGTGGGCTGTTTTTTGCATTTGGCAGTTGGTGATCAGTGGTTGGCATTCTTCACTTGGCATTTGTAATAAATGGCAGGTGGTGACATTTTGCATGTTATCCCTTGTTTCACAATTGTAACACATTCACTGAATGAGTATTTCAAAATTTATCTGAGATTTGATATCTTTGATATTTGTTTTCTTACAGTCATACAGTATATTGGTGGTAGTGCAGATAAAGTTCATAAGGTTTTAAACTTCTCTGTACGTTATTTTCAGCAAAAATAATGAAATTAATTTATTTTTATCAAGTTTACTTTTTTATTCTGAGTAATAATCATTATTTGATATCAACAGTGAAATACATAGATATACATAAATAGAATAAATGAAATAAAAGTACATAATACAGTGTTCATATGTTACCATTTACCATATTTACCACATTTTTGTCACCAAAAAGTGAAATATTGTTGTAGATACACTTCTTAATGTGACATGCATTGGCATTTAGCATATGTAGCATATTGTTATTCTCCTGTCACCATTTGTAACAAATTCATTTTTGTAGCTGCAATGCTGTGGTGTTGACACCTATTTGGACTGGTACACCTCTCCATGGTCTAACAAAACTAACTCCGTACCAAGGACATGTTGCAAAAAACCAGACTCTGCAAATTGTGTTACTACACCATTCCCAGGTGGAACTACAAATGAAACTATAGCTGATACAATTTATACAGAGGTAAGCCACTACCACTATGTGTTAATCAACTTAGGAAAGTACAATTTATACAGAGGTAAGCCACTCCCACTATGTGTTAATCAACTAAGGAAAGTACAATTTATACAGAGGTATGCCACTCCCACTATGTGTTAATCAACTATGGATGGTACAATCTAATAAAGGTAAGCCACTCCCACTATGTGTTAATCAACTAAGGAAAGTACAATTTATACAGAGGTAAGCCACTCCCACTATGTGTCACTCAACTAGGGAAAGTACAATTTATACAGAGAGTGGAGCCACTCCCACTATGTGTCACTCAACTGAGGAAAGTACAATTTATACAGAGAGTGGAGCCACTCCCACTTTGTGTCACTCAACTGAGGAAAGTACAATTTACACAGAGGTAAGCCACTCCCACTATGTGTCAATCAATCAGGAAAGTACAGTTTATACAGAGGTAAACCACTCCCACTATGTGTCCCTTAACTAGGGAAAGTACAATTTATACAGAGGTAAGCCACTCCCACTATGTGTCAATCAATCAGGAAAGGACAATTTTTACAGAGGTAAGCTACTCTCACTATGTGTCCCTTAACTAGGGAAAGTACAATTTATACAGAGGTAAGCCACTCCCACTATGTGTTAATCAACTATGGATGGTACAATCTAATAAAGGTAGGCCACTCTCATTTGTCAATCAAACTATATCAGATACAGTATGTACAGAGGCAATGGTACATTATATGCTGAGGTAAGACTAACCAATATGTGTCAGGGAACTATAGCTGACACAATTTTCACAGAGGTAAGCCACTCCCACTATGTATCAGTCAAGTATACATGCTTCAGTTCATATGAAGGAGAGCCAATCCACTATGTGTCAGTCAACTATGGAAAGTACAACTTATACATTTTGTATATAGAAGTAAGCGACTTCTACTTTGTGTCGATCAACTATAATAAAATATGATTTATGGTTCCTCAAACTAACCTGAATAACTTATTTCTTTCATAGCTTTCGGATGTGACTACATCCTTCGTCAGTGAAGTACTGTTTGTTGATTTCCCGCCACCACAGCTGTCCTTAATATAATAGCTGATACAATCAATTAATTGATACAGGCCCATAGCTAGCTTTTGCCAAGGGGGTTCACTTTCAGAATTCCATGGGGGTTCACCCCCCTCCCCCTTACCCCTCCCTTGCTACAGCCCTGGAATAAGCCACTCTCCCTTTATGTCAATTAAATGTAACTGATACATGATGTGTCTTTTTCTCTACTAGGGTTGCAGCAAGAAGGTAGTGACATTCATGAAGAAAAACATTGGTGCAATAGGGGGCGCTGCAATCGGATTCGCGTTTTTACAGGTAAGTGACGCGTGTGTGGATAGTTATTGGTCGTGGCTGGCACATCCTTTAAGTTGAATGATGTGCCTAACTTTTCAGTATTTCTTTACAATAGAGTGTTCCCTACAAATCTGTTATAAATTTAGCCTCTTGGCTTCCAAGTTTTGATTTTTTGACAGTTTTTCACAGTTTTTTGACAGTTTTTGACATTTAACTAGATACAATACTTTACAGATGTGATACTCAGTTTTGTAAATGTATTGAGCATCTATCCTCTCTACAGATTTTAAAACATGATTTGAATAGATTTGATCAATATTGTCAAGGAAAATTTTTATTGAATTTTATGTGACAGATTTTCTTGTCACTCTAGTCTCTTCATCTGACAGTCAGTTCGTTTGTGACAAGAAATTTCGTCACTCTGTGCAGCTTAGGGGTTAAATTCTTCCTTGTTGATTTCACTCTATTTTACTATATTTCTCATTTAAAGAGTTTTTCCCTAATACATGGAAAGCATTCTGCAGTGAAGGATGTTAGAATTGTTTCTGGAAATTCTATAATATAGTTACATTTTGGTTGTGTCAAGAAGTTTTAAGAAATCATGAAATCAGCATGGAATAAAGAAAATAGGTTTGTATTGATCACTTAAATAACGCAGATGCGAGTAGGTAGTTACCAGATTCCCCACCAGGTGGGTCATTTGGGTCAGATAGCATGGCGGGTATGGTAGAAAGTTCCCTTTAACTTAAATTACATCTATTTGGGTGGTTCAATCTTCATACAACCCTTATGTATCTAATAGTTATGCAAATTAAAATATATCAGGTCAAAGAAAATGTTATCTGTCCAATACAAGAAAAGATAATTCACTTTTTGAGATTTTGTAACTTGGGGTCTATGGGGAATCAACCCGAACAAGAAGTCACATTTTCAAAAAAAAAAATTTTCAAAGTTGATAGACAATTTTTGAAACCATATTTCTAGATGTACTTTTACATGCAAATTTCAAATATGAAATCACTTTGACTGAATTTTGAATATTTAATGACGTAAATCAAGATTATTTCTACTCGCATCTAGTCTATTGTACAGAAATGCAAAAAATCAAGCAGATTATTTGCAAAAGTATACAAAAGGCATGGTCGTTTTTTCATTGTACTATTGAACATATGCACTAACCTACCAGTAAATGTTCCCTATGGTTCCCAAAGTTTGCACAAATCTTCATAAATATTTATTGCATTATGCACAGGGATTTCAGGATACATTACTTAACAATACAATTCATTTTCCAACAAATTAATACATTATCTAAGAATGTAATACATTATCCAACAATGTGATACATTATTTAACAATTTGAAATATTATCCAACAATGTGATGTATTGTCAAACAATGTATAAAGGTAATGTACTGGGAGGTTTTGGATACAGGGTTTATCCCAAGGGAAATATGTGTATCTCCCGAGGGACCGCACATAACAGATGTATTTCATACCTACTGAGGTTCTAGGTACATCATACCTTACAAAAATCCAAAATTTCAAAACAAACTTAAGGTACTAGGCGGTTTTTTGGTCTTAAAGTTTGCGGGATTTTCAAAAAATTTGAAAAAAAGAAAATTTTGAAAAATTTAATTTGGAAACTTAATTTGGAAAAAAAATTTGAAAAAAATTTGAAAAAAAAATATTTCAAAAATGTTTTTGAAAAAAAGGAGCGGGACCGTGATGAATACAGCGTGTATCCATCCCAGTCCCTAGATACACTATATATTCCCGCTTGTTATGTACCTAGAACCTCAGTAGGTATGAAATACAAAACATTATCCAACAAAACAATGCATTTTGTAACATTATTATACATTATCTAACAAAATAATACGTAAACGTACAATACATGTATGATACATTCATAAACAATATGATACATTATATTACAATACAATACATCATCCTACAATATGATACATTTTCTAACAACATTATACATTATTTAATAAGCACAATATAATAAACAAAGGGGAAATATATTGAGGTGTCATTAGCATATATGAAACATTTAAATATAATACAATACACCATTCAACAATATGATACATTAAGTGTAGTATATTTTCTAACGATGTGATACATTAAATATTGGACAATGCGGGACATACATACAAACATTTTAAAAACTTTGGACAAGAACACATGAATTTCATTGTTCATAATCCACAATTTTGATATGTACAGAATCTTTCAGTAATTCTTTGCAAGATTTTAAGTTAAAGATGTATTGCTGTGTCCCTTATGATCTATGACATCCCATTGTAATGTTTTGTAGATGTTTGGAGCAGTTCTCGGGATCTGTCTCGCTCGCAGAATTAACTATGTTAATAGATACCAAGTTATATAATACATATTCTCTTAAGACAATTCATATCAATCAAGTTTATTTTAATTTAGTGCAAACATAAACTCTTTGTAGTATGGACTATTTATGGATTTGGACTTATGGTCTGCTTTTTTCGCAAATAGAGGCAACCAAAACTTTCAGAAAAATCTCCTGTTTAGGAACCCCTGTTCCAACCAATTAGAATTGAAAATACATATACCCATTAAACATGATTTTAATGGTTGATGCTCAATGAACCAGTTCTTCTCGGATGTAATGTACAGTTAATGCTATCCCCATGATGATAGGTATATGATGATATCCCCATGATGATAGGGATATGAAGATATCCCCATGTTAAGTAAATGGTGCATATCCCCGTGTTAAGTCAAAATCCTCATTTTCTCAAAAGAACATTGGTAAATTAAGCCTCAACCAGTTGTATGTTTTACTGAGCATATCTAAAGTCAATTAATTGGTTTGAATATGGTTTCCAGGAGGTTGGTTTTCAAACCTTTTGGTTACCTCTAAATGTATCACATGTTTTTGTATGAGTATACTCATCAGAGAAAGGTCAGTTGTGCAAGTATACTCAACAGCTGACTGATAAAAGTTTACAAATTCCAAAATGTTTTAAAAGAACAGAAAGACATTTTGAAGACATTACGGTAGCCCACTTATCCAGTTATTCAGTCTGCGGTAATATGGCCAATACTGTAGGTGTTGGTCTCTTAAGTCTCTGATCATATGTATATGTAGGACATCATGACAAGGAACATACTGTAAAGTATATTGCCATGACAAGAAAGAGGCAGTTAACTTGAAAATGTGCCAAATTATTTGATATTTTTAGTGTTAATTATGACATCACAACACATAGTAATAAAGCACTCTTTATAGAGATTTTTGCACGTTTTTGTTTTTGTTCTTTTTCTTTTTGTGTTCTTTAACTATTCTGAATCCTGCATTAGTTGCTTTTATTTAATTTTAGTTGCATTATAATCTGTTGCTAAAAATGAATGTCTTAGATAATAAAGTTACAGACCCTGATGAAACATAGTTTATAATAAAAATCTGATTGGTCTGAATCTTTATTTCTATTTTGTTGTTGTTGTTTATGTTTATTTAAAATAAATGTTTATTTATGTGCACATGGATAATTTTTGATGCATTAGTTAAGAACTGATTTTAAGAATGGTGAAGGGATTTCATATTTTTGCTATTTTTTCTGGTGGAGAATTGATGGGGAGGGTGGAGGGAACACAAATTTAACCATCAAAATATATGGAATCATCATCATTATCAAAATTTTTCTATGGTGGTCATATGCAGGGGTTTCATTAGCAGCAGGCAGCAGGCAATTTTCAACGGTTGTTTTCACAAAATCGCTTGTTTTTATGGACTTTTCCATGTTAAATTTATGATTTCCATTAATTTTGCCTGTTGTTTTCATTTATTTAGCTTGTTGTGAGAAATTCTAGTGAAACCCCCGCATATGATTCCTTTTAAAAGTTAGAAATGTGAGAAATAGACAAGGAATTGAACCATAAAGACTTTGTAGCACATAAATAGACATGGCACTCCTAAATTCTGTTTTCCAGTTTCGAATAAGGAAGCTAATAAGCTTTTCTTTTTCAATCTAAAACTCTTGACTGACTGTGTGTTTCAGTGTTTTGGTTCCTTGGCTGCGATTTGCCTTGCTAAGCTTATATACAAAACTACATATGATGAAATGAGCAGCCATAAACCCGTCTAGATACTAATGCCCCCTGGTGGAGGAATCTTGTTTAGTGCTGCTCTCTGGTGGAGGAATGATAAACTGGTTTCATCAAGCACAATTTACAATAGATATTGTTTGATTATTTTATTTAAGGGGCGGGGTCAAAATATCAATGTTCATATGGAGACGAAAGTAATTTCATTTGGACAACAACCCCCCCACCCCCCCCCCCCCCCTCTAGACGAAAGCTTAGGTCACTTCAAAAAAACATTGATTAATAATCGTATCCTATTTGCCGGGTTATTATTACGGTGAATTAACACACGTTCGCAATTTAACTGCATTGAACTCTTCAAAAGGAGGAGGGAAAAGTACGGAATTTATTTGAAAAATGATCGAATTATCGTCTTTATCTACCGATATTTTGGACCTATCACACAAAAAAGCTCACAAACTATTGAAAACAAGCCTTTTTATCAGAACATAGCGCCAGAAAAAGTGGGTAAGTCCAATTATTTTTTGTATATCAGATCCGAATTATCGATGTTTTTTTGGTCAACGAAAGTGCCCAAAAACCCCCTCCCCCCTCGCGAAAGTACTTTCGTCTCCATATGAACATCGATATTTTGACCCCGCCCCTAAGTTTCTATATATAAACAATTTGCCATTTTTGACCAATTGTTTCATTGTGACGGATATTGCCAAAAATGAGATTAGACCCCCTATTATGACATGATTTTTCCAGTTGACTTTACATTTGTTCTTGAGCATACAGAATTTAAATATACTCATGCATATGAGATTATAGTGTTATTATTTTGGGACATGTTTAATATAGACAATTACCCAAATGCGAGTAGGTAGTTACCAGTTTCACCACCAGGTGGCTGATTCGGGTCAATTAACATGGCAGGTATATAAGAAAGTTCCCTTAAACTTGAATATTATCAATTTAAGTGGCTTAATTTTAATATAACCCTTATGTGTCTGATACTTATACTAATGAAAATATGTCCAGTAAAGCAGAATATTATCTGTCCACTAAAAGAAAAGATATTTCATTTTTTGTGATTTTATAGCATGGGGTCTATGGGGAATCTCCCCGAGCAAGAAGTCACATTTTCAAAGAAAATTAATTTTTCAAAGTTGATAAACACTTTTTAAAACCACATTTCTAGATGTAATTTTACATGTAGATTTTAAATATGATATTACTTTGACTGACTTTTGAATTTTTAATGACGTAAATCAAGATTATTTCTACTCGCATCTGGGTTATTGAGCGTTAATGATGAGGATCGATTTGATGAACATCAAATGGCTTTATAAACAATTTCTGTCTCAGAGAAAGCCTTTTGAAATAAGTGAGTAGCTTTTGAGAACCTTAAATCTGATTGCAGGTATATAATAAGCAGCCATTGACCAATCAGATCAGATTAAATATATTGATTGACCAATTGATACAGAAAGAACATAACAGATACCATAGCCATTGACCAATCAAATTACAGATGTTTAGCCATTGACCAATCAGATTGCAAGATTTCAGATATAATAGCCATTTTCAATCAGATTATGACCAATCAATTGACAGATATTGTAGCAATTGACCAACCAGATTACAGATATTATTGTGAATGACCAATCAGAGAACAGCTGTTATAGCAATTAACCAATCAGAGGACAATTATTGTAGCAATTGACCAATCAATGCACAGATATCTATAAGTTATTCCTTTATGTTTATACATGTAGCTTTTAATGTAAAAATGAAATTGTTTGATTAAATTTTACTGTAACACATTGATAACACTGATGTTCTTTCTCTCTTATAACTTTTAAATCTTTGTTTATACAATGTAATTGACTTTTATAGTTTCTTGGTAATTAGCTGCATAGAATAAATATATTATGTAAAGTTAAATAATGCTTTCTAGAAATATTTAGTAAGAGCTTGATATTTAACCTTGCCAAGACGCCGTTTCTCAATTGTTAAAGCTATTTTTTAAAAATCAGAAAAACTGTTAAGCACAACATCAAAGTATATAGGGTGTCTCAATAAAATGTACCCAAAAGTATATCAACATCATAGACAAACCAATCAATATTTTCAGACATTTTTTGCATGGTCTTGTAGATAAAAGATGAAAGTTTTTTCCCCTATACACAGTTTTTAATTCAGTTTTGCCTTTTTGATACTTTAACCCATTACCTTTTACACCACATATTCAATGTAAAGTCATATTTTGATGACAGTCTGCATCCTACTACATTGTTCATCACATTTGGTATTTCTGGTGGAATGTTTTGATTTCTGTTCGGATGCTGGTCTTAAGTTGTTCTAGGTCTCTTAGCTTGGGTTTAGCATAAAAATAGTCCTTCATATAGCCTCAGAGAAAAAAGTATGGGCCGTCAAATACGGTGAATAGGGAGGCCCTCACAATGTCTTATATCTAGTGGTGTCAATTAACCGCTTGAGCATTAACCGGTTAACCGGGGTTTTTTACCGGTTAAAGTCGGTTAACCGGCGGGAAATTTGAACTTATAATTTCAAATGAAATCTTCATCTTCGTTCTTGAAAGTTGAAAAAAATTGGAAAAATAATATATCGGCGTTTATTTTTTACGTTCTTCAAGCTTTACGCTATTCTATGTAAGTAAGCGCGGTAAAGCAATGTGGCAGGGATTAAAGTTGCTGATTGGATGTTTGTAAGGAATTATCGGACCTATTACATGTTTGAGTAGCTCACATGAAACTGACGCTTGAAAAACAAACAGATTAAAATGCAAAGTAAGCGCGGGAAAGCAATGTGGCAGGGATTAAAGTTGCTGATTGGATGTTTGTAAGGAGTTATGGGACTTATGACATGTATGAGTAGCTTACGTGAAACTGACACCATAAAACCAAACGGATTAGCATGCAAAAAAGCGCGTGAAATATCAGAATTATACACGGTCAACTAACCGCCCATAAAAACTCAGACCGGTCAAGGCATTATCGGCGGTTAACCGGTTAACCGGTTAATACTTGACACCTCTACTTATATCCCCCTTATACAGAGAGGTCAGAGGTTCAAGAAACTGCATTGATTGGGATTCTAGTGTAGCTTTTGTTGTGTCTATCAATTTGAGAGCACTGTGTTTTCATTCAAATATCATTGGGTCTCCAGGCTAGTCTGCCTAACTCTGGAAGGTAACTCCTGAATCATTTGCCGATAATTGACCTGATTATCTGTGTTTCTTCTGCCATCGTCATCCTCAAACATCTTTCTCTGTGGCTATTTGAAGGAGTGTTTTAATGCTCATTCCAAGCAAAAAGACCTAGAACAACTTAAGGGCAACATCCAAAGAGAAATCCAAAACATTTCATCGGAATTATTATCAAATGTGATGAACAATGTAGCAGTGAAGATACAGGCTGTCATCGAAATATGAAGTGACATCGATTTTGTGGTGTAAAAGGTAAAGGGTTAAAGCATCAAAAAGACAAGACTGAAATAAAAATGGTGTATTGGGGAGAAAACTTTCATGTTTTGGCTACATGACCATGCAAAAAATGTCTGAAAATATTGATTGGTTTGTCTATGATGTTGATATACTTTTGGGTACATTTTATTGAGACACCCTATATACTTTGATGTTGTGCTTAACAGTTTTTCTGATTTTTAAAAAATAGCTTTAACAATTGAGAAACGGCGTCTTGGCAAGGTTAAATATCAAGCTCTTACTAAATATTTCTAGAAAGCATTATTTAACTTTACATAATATATTTATTCTATGCAGCTAATTACCAAGAAACTATAAAAGTCAATTACATTGTATAAACAAAGATTTAAAAGTTATAAGAGAGAAAGAACATCAGTGTTATCAATGTGTTACAGTAAAATTTAATCAAACAATTTCATTTTTACATTAAAAGCTACATGTAAAAATGTCTGAAAATATTGATTGGTTTATCTGTGCTCTTGATATACTTTTGGGTACATTTTTTGAGACACCCTGTATTTCAATGCAAGCTTTTCTGTGATATAGGCCTATCCACTATGATGTAAAATTAATGCAGTGGATTTTTCTTAGTGGTCTGGTATAAATGGTATACCTGCTGTGCTTGAAGCTGTCAATCATATAGACATAAATCATCAATTTATGTCACGTTGCTGTCATGTGATACTATGACGTTACCCAATTAGAAAGAACAACATGTAACTATGCGGTTGGTGGCTCAATTTGCTTGTATTAATTTTTCACAAATAATAAATTACATGTATACATATATTTTACAACATACATGTGTATAGTCAAATACAAAAACAATATTATGTAATATTATATAATATGGGGCTAAAAACAGGGTGGAGGAGGGGATGTGGAGGTTAAATTATAATATTTATGTTACATTTATCATAGAAAACAGTTAATATTGAGAAAACGTATCACTATCAGATATATATATAAATACACGTGTTCTCATCTAATAAGCAGTATGTAAAATGTATCCCTTCAAGGGAGGGCTATCTACAAAGTTGATTATTATAATGAACTAAATCTGTGAATTATTATGATTGGTGGATTGGCTAGATCCGAAGGACCGCCCATTCAAACTACAAAAGAAGATGAAGCAGTGCTATAAATAAGATAATTGTCATTATCGAAATTTATGTCATGTTGCTGTCATGTGATACTATGACGTTACCCAATTAGAAAGAACAACATGTTACTATGCGGTTGGTGGCTCAATTTGCTTGTATTAATTTTTCACAAATAATAAATTACATGTATACATATATTTTACAACATACATGTGTATAGTCAAATACAAAAACAATATTATGTAATATTATATAATATGGGGCTAAAAACACCCATCGCAAAGCGAGCCCCATCCATATTACAAAATATTTTTAAATCAACCAAAATTAGGGAAAACGTCAGTATGACCATAATAAGTGCGATGGCAACGTGTCATGAATCCGTTTTATAAATACGCATACAACGTATTTATGGTACAATAATCAAGTAACAAACATATTGGCAAAT